GCTCCAAAGTTTAGTAATTCTTTCAACTGTATTCTTTTAAAGAATCTCTTGTCTACCATCGCTTATTTATCTTTCCATAAGAGCATCCTATATCAACAGAAATTTTCACTGGAATTTTGATGGAATTTTATCAAATCTATAGATCAATTGAGTAAAAACTGTTTTTTATGTTAACTTTTATAATTTCTGAACATAAGTGAACATCTCGAGTTATTTGGTGATTCTTTGATTTCCTACCTCAGTGGTTTAAAAAAATTTTTTTAATTGAATCACCATGAGATACAGTTACAAGGCTGCTCATGATTCTCTCTCTCTCTCTCTCTCTCTCTTCTCTCCTCAGTGGTTTTTAGGTGAGCCAAGAACCCAGAATTATGGGTCCATCTCCTAAATCATGGATTTACAAGAATGCAGAATATTGTTCCATATTCTGTCTCACTTGCAGCAATCTAGTAGTAAGAACTATCTTCATTTTTTGAGGGAGTCAGGGCTCAGGAGCTACTCCCAGTAGTGTTTTGGGGATCAGGTAGTACTGCGGGTTGAATTCAGGCCCCGTGCATGCAGATCATGTGCTCTAGCCCTTTGATTCATTTCCTGCTCTGAGAATGATCTCTCAATATTACTTGAAGCATAATATGGAAGGGAAAATGACTGAAGTCCATTTGAAACTTTTCTGTATTTTGAGAGGAAAAAAAAATAGAAAAACAATTCTATCAGTAGCTACTGGAGAATTGCACAAAACTATATTCACCACAAATATTAAATGCTTTATATTTTGTAACTCAAAATACTACATTTACTACAGTTAAATAGACTCAAATCATATATTTAAATGGATTTATAGTGATAAAAATATTTAAGCAATGATGCCTATTTCCTATTTCTTCTCGTAAAGAAATTGAACAGCTTCCCATAAATAGTAAAACTTGGGTGAACTAGGAACCAATATTGGGAAGGTGAAGTAAAATAGTGGGAAGCACAGGTTTGCTAAAATTAGAGATAGCTTCATAAGGTTGGAGAACTGTGATTATACAGACCCATCTACAAAATAAAGCAGCTGTATTTTCCATTGAAAGTGTTGTCTGAAGTAAGGAGAGTCATTTTGCCTCTGGAAGAAGCTATCCAGTGCACTGGGATAAATACATCAGGCTGATTAAAAAGAGATAATTGACTGAAACTCCTCAATGTAGTCTCCTGCTGCTATAAATAGAAGTGTTTTATTTGGACTTCTTTCCCATGAAGGCTGCCAAGTTGTGTTAATAAGGACTTTCATTTTTAAATAGGGAAACAAGAGCTCGGAAGTGGTAAAATTAACTCCTGCAAAATTAATCCTCAGGAAGAACCTCAGTACGTGATTAAAGAGCAGAACTATTTTTCTTTCTTGAGGGACTTTAACAAAACCAGCTCAGAAAACAGATGTATGGTGGGAACCCAAATCAATATAGGTATTTTCTATGCCTCTAGGTGGGCTGAGTAGGTGAGCAGATAGAGGAATTTGTATGGCTTCAAATTGTGTACTGATATTTTCAAAGAGTAATATTATCTTGCTCCTTTTCTGATACCATCAACTACTTAAATAGTTAGAAGTTATAGGGTAAACCTGATGGGAGAAACAAAAATCATAAACCCAGCCCCCTTGCTATTTCTATTTGGAGTTGGGTTTTGTGAAAAGTAATCACAATACCAAGAAATATTTGATAAATTCCACATAAGTGATAAAGAAAGAAAAAATGGAGAGAATTCTGTATTGGAAAAAATCTACTCACATTGTATATTCTCTTCTATCTGATTTGTTCTAACAGGATCAGGAGGGATTATTGTACAAATTGGGATAGGACTTATTTTGAGCTTAGAAGGACACAGTGTGTAAATACATATGTGTGTGTGTGTGTATGTATTTGGTGTATTTGGTTTGTTTTCTATCTCCCTACTAAGAAATTCTTTGAAGACAGAGGGTTATTTTGTTTACTTCTTTATCTTCAACACCAAAACAATTCCTGGTCTCTAGTAGGCGCCCACTACTTTTTGAAAGGTGAATAAATTCAAGAAGGTGGGAGGGTATCTTCAGGTACCCCACAAGATCTAGAACAACCTAATACTCAATGACAGACAAGTGGGTAATGAAATTGTTGTCGACATACACAACAGAATCCTACTGTTCAGGTATACGAAATAATAAAATCTTGCCCTTTGAAGCTACATGTATGAAACTGGATGGGTTATAAAACAGAAGGAGAAAGACAAATGCCAGATGATCACATGTATACGTGGGATACAAAGAAGCAAGCATAGGAACAGAAAAGAAACCAATGGAAACAAATACGTGGACTTAGACCACAGAATTGAGGTTACTAGAAATGAAGTGGGAATTGAAAGGGAGAGAGGTTCCAAGCACTGGTATAAAGGGCTGGTGGGTGTGGTGTAGTAACATTTTCTCTAAAGAAGCTTGAAATTGTGCCCCTAAAATATATACAGTTGTGAGCCTGGGGGTATGGCTTGGTGGTAGAATGTGTAATGCTTCACACGTGTGAGACTATGAATTTGATTTCTAGCACCTCTCCACATCACTGAATGCAATACTAGTGGCACTGCCATTGTGATCCCTAACACCATAAAAGGGTATTACCCCTAGGCACCACAACAACCACAATAACAAAGAGAAAAATAAAACAAGAACCCAAAGCAAAACCACACACCATCATGCAAACTAATGCTTTCTCAATTTTTTTTAAATGACTAAGAGACAACACCTATTTATGAAAGACTTTCATTTAGCCAAGATATGGTAAAAGAAAAAAAGCAACAACCCAGAAAGACAAATAACAATAAAAGGACTTGAGGGTTTGTTTTGAAAACAAAAATGCTTTAGGAAATCACTGTATAGAGATCAAGATTATTTGAGCAGCAGAACTCAAACATATGCTTTAAATATATCTAAAATACCCAGAAACAGGCAAATTGAGGAATATGAAAAAGGAGACAGAAAACAATAGGTGTTTAAGTGTATATAATGAACTCAATGTAATCAACCTAATATTTATCAAAACTGAATGAAAAGTCAGTACATAGAGAACATATACAGATAACTGGGGACAGAGCAAGAGCACAGCAAGTAGGGTACTTGCACGTGACCAAGTGTGCAAAGTTTGATCCAGAACCCCATATGGTCCATCAAGCCCTCCAAAAGTGATTCCCAAGTGCGAAGACAGGAATGACCCTTGAGAATTACTGGGTGTATCCCCAAGAGAAAATAAAACAAAAGAACATATACAGATAGAACATATAACACACTTCACAAATTGGGATAGAAAATGTTTCTGCTAAAGAGAAAGGTGACTCTAGAAAAATGTTGAGGGCACATTAGATGTACTGGTTGCAGTGAAACCTACAGAAGCAGCAGAAAGGGAATTGCACAAATTAAAAATAATATATCCAACACTTCTCCTAGAGGTAATTTGTCTTGAACCCAAATCTCCAATCATAAGATTAATATGGTTGTTGGTCACTGGATGAGAACCTCTCACTTTAGGAACCTTAATTTACATGGTACATGTTAATAATACTTAGGGAAAAGAGGGTCCCATTCTTCACTTTCCTTGTTCACAGATACCACGTCACACATAACTGACCCACTTGTTTCCCACATCTTCTCTCCATTCCCCTTTAAAAAAACGGCAAATTGGTGGTCTAAATGGAATCTCTGTGTCTTTTTGCTAACATTAAACCTTTCTTTCTCTCTCTCTTTCTTTCTTTCTTTCTTTCTTTCTTTCTTTCTTTCTTTCTTTCTTTCTTTCTTTCTCAGTTTTGGCTGGCAGTGCTCAGGTCTTACTGAGTGTTATTTTGGTCTCCACCACATCACCAGTTTCTTTAATTTTTTTTCAGACCTCAAAATTTCATGATTGTTTCAGTCAAACAATGATCAAGTACCCATCCCTCCACCAGTGCCCATTCTCCACCATCAATGTTTCCAGTATTCCATCCCTTCCCATCCCCTGCCCCTGTGGCAGGCACATTCCTTCTTACTCTCTCTGTCATTTGGGGTGTTATGGTTTGTAATACAGGTATCAAGCAGTCATTATGTTTGGTCCATAGTCTACTTCCAGCACTCATCTATCTCTAGCAATCCTTCCAACCATTATTTACTTAGTGCTCCTTTCTCCATCCCAGCTATCTTTTCCCCCAGGGCATGAGATTGCGATGGGGTAATCCTCCTGACTCTAATTTCTACTGTCCTTAGGTGTTAGTCTCCTATAATGTTACTTTATATTCCACTAATAAGTGCAGTCATTCTGTCTGTTCCTCTCTTTTCGACTCATTTGGCTTAGCATGATACTCTCTATGTTGATCCACTTATATGAAAATTTCATGATTTCATTTTTTCTAACAGCTGCCATTGCATATCACCAGTTTCATCTGCCACAAGTGCTCCTAGCCAGGAAAGACTTGGTCCTATTCTCCTTTGTTCCTCTGGCTGCTTTTTTGAAGGGTCAGAAAGTCAGATGGGGTGGGGATGGCTGCAATTCATGGATCAGGTTCAGTGCTGCTGACATTGGGCAAAATGTCCAAGTAGCTAAACCTTTTTGGGGGGAAGGTGGGGTGGGTGGGAGAATGCCTCCCAAGCATCCGTCGGGACCCTGAGGCCTACTCCCAGAGATACTTAAGCAAGCAGAACACCAATTTAGTGCTCCAGGGCAAAGGATGTGGTGCTCTTCTAGCCCTGTAGTAACTGTGACCCCCAGAACTACATTCAGCAATACTCAAGACCATGAGGTACTGGGGGATCCAAATGACTGGGCCTTCTCTGTCTATAAAAGTGTCAGTTAGGAATTAAAATAACTTATAAATTAAATGTTGTGAGTCCTGCCTACGTCAACATATGGATTGCATCTGAAATATTTCCTATGTAAAACCTCCCCCACCCCCCACCCCCCACCCTTTCACCAGTGTGATTGGGTAGCAATGAAAAATGAACGTGATCACAGTGAGAAAACTGCATTTCCTACCTTGGTCCTTTATCTTTAGAGGCACTTTTGCTAACAGCAGTATTTCTCCCAGATGTCGATTCTGACTTCTCTTCTGTGGGAGAGGCAAACCCAATACTAAAAAGGAAGAGTACAGTTTTTGGTTTTGTTATTTGAAACAAGACGATCTCAAGCAGCTGGTCAAGGACCGTATAGCACCTTGTATAATTTATAAGGCATTTGCTCTTCCATGCTACTATCACCATTGACAAAACGGAGCGCCAGGCTCAACTGAGGAGGAGAAGTATGGTCTCAAGCATTAGTCCCTGGTCTCCTTCTCACAGGGACACAACAGTCACCCAAACCCACAGAATCAGGCTTCCTGGCTCCTTTGTCAGACAACTTTGTCACATCCATTTTAAGCAGCATTAGTGAGTTTTCTCCTTCTGCTAGTTCATTTGCCTTAGTTATTTATATTCTACTTATGAGGGAAACCATTCGGTCATTGTCTCTTTCACTTTCTATCTTCCTTCATTGAGCACACTCACCGCAAATTTATGGTGATTAGTGGAGGGAAAAGGGAGTGAGTAGGAGAACTGAATAAAGGTATTTTTGGTGATGGGATGGCACTGGAATTTGGTTCTGGGTGTCTGAACCCCCGTCTCATAGGGGGAGGGGTAAAGCTACATTCCTGACATCTTATAATTTTATATAGTAACGAATAAATAAGAGACAAAAGAAAGTCCCGATAGGACTTTCTAGCCCATTCCACCATTTATAAAAAGCAGAGGAAATTATAGTACCATAAGAAGAATAAATATGAAGTTGCCCAAATGTACCACTTTTTTACTTCCAGACTTAGGGAAGAGTTAGGTGAGTATAGACAAAGCATCACTCTTACGTGATCTTTTCTTTACTTCCTTTTCTTAATGAATATGAAGTAGAAACACTTCGTCCATAAGCAGTATCCAGTGGTTTATCTTCTGTCGATTGAGGTGAAACTCTAAAATTTTACATGTTTGAAATTAGGTTCAAATTAAAACAACTTATTTGTTAATGTTGACTTCATCTCACAAAACATTGCTTTTTGACTTCTACATGTTATTTTAAAAGTATAGAGGAGAGATCTAAGGTAAGATAAAAGTTTTAGCTACACTATTTATATATTATATATATATATAAATCACAGTCATATTCATCGATTTGCTTGAGTGGGCCCAGTAATGTCTCCATCATGAGACTTGTTACTGTGTTCGGCATATAGAATACATCACAGGTAGCTTGCCAGGCTTTGCCGTGCGGGTGAGATACTCTCGGTAGCTTGCTTGGCTCTCCAAAAGGGGCGGAGGAATTGAACCCAGGTCGGCCATGTTGGCTGCGTGCAAGGCAAATGCATGCCCTATCTGCTGTGCTATCGCTCCAGCCTATATATATATATATGTATATATATATATATATATATATATATATATATATATATAGGCAGTAGCTGTACACTTGCATGTAATTCTGGAGCTTTGTAAACATGGTTCAACTTGATTTGACTAATATACTGATATTTTCTTCAACTTTCCAGAGAATAAGGGAGTCCTGGCTGAAATAGAACATATGGAATTAATGGTCACGGGGAAGATCATAATGGTGTTTATTCAGAGGCTTCTACTACATCAGGTAATAGATTGATGGAGTGCAGCTTATTTTCATGGTGGTGCTACATCCGGGGGGGGGAAATGATAGTCTGTAGTCATGTGATGATGGAAAAATAAAAAAAATCCCATGAATTACTGCATCCCTCTTCCTCACCAAAACGCACACATCAGAACATTTACTGTTAATTAAGAGTACAGGACGGTGATCATTTAGCTCTTGTAACCAGAGTTCTTTCAACGGTGGAAGCTTGGTGCCAGGATTTATCTGCAAATAATTAAAAGACTGAAAAGTAATATTTGCATGGGGCACATTAAAAAAATTAATATTGATTCATTAGGGGATCTAAACTTTTGAGGTGTCTAATTTTATACACATTTGCACACTTAGAAACAGAAAGTTGTCCTTGTTCCCTCACCTTTGGACAGAAAATATTCCTGCAGTTTCTAACTATATTTATATTTGTTTCCTGCAGTTTCTAACTATATTTATATTTGAAAGTCCATCTTTGTATATGAGGTAACTTATTGTCTGTTATTGTAACTACTAACTAAACAAACAACTAAAAACGTTACAAGAATATGTAAAAATAGGATTGGCAAAGTCCTTTGCTTAGATCAAACCAGCCCAGGGAACAGGGTTAGATGACATTACCAAGATTTTCTTTTTGAGTCACACTGTAACTATATCCCTCTCTCTTCCCAGGTTCAGTAGTAAAATTTGGTTCATTCTGATTAGATAATAATAAAAATATGCATACTTTATCAATAATCCTTACTCCTAGAATTAATAGAATCTAGAAATTTAAAATGTTCTTCTTCTATATCTAAGACATTAAGACTAGCATTAGCAAGCTGGTTTAAGTTTTTGTTAACATTGTACACAATGCAAAATGTTACAGTTAGATCAAGTGAAAGAGGTCTTGATCCCAAAATCCAGTCTATAAAAAATATTTAACTTAGGTGGTTATACAATTACAACAGAATGGAATCATGATTAAAGATGAAATACTTATGCATACTAAAATGTGATTTAATGTTGCCACTTACCCGACCATAGTCATAGAATCCATCAGTAATTATGTTACTTGATGACAAATAGCAGAGCAGGCTATATTTCAGAGATAGGTTGTAGTTGAGTAATTTGTTATAAGCTAGCTCACTGAATTTATTTTTCCGCCTTACTGATTGATTGATTTCTTCAAGTATCTCCAAAGCCCTATCAATAAAAGCAGAAGGTATTACGTGCTTCATAATATTGTAATCCAATATTAAGTTCCCAATAATGTACCAAGCTAACTTCCAGATTGAAGACCGGAAAGGAAAACTTACAGCCACCTCCAGTTCTTATAGATGAGGTGCTGCTCCAAGAATTATAAAGACAAAGCAGCCCTCCAGGAGAGCACATATATAGCTGTATTAACACTCTGTCAAATAGCTGAGAAGCTGTTCATTTAAATAAGACTTGGTTTTGGACTCTAAATTTTACCAGCTAAGCAGGTAATAGTCAAACCCTGTTGCTGATTAAGTAGAAGCAACAAACTCATCAGGTTCTGGGAAGGAGAAGCATCTGATGAGAGTGATTAAAAGCAGGGAATGGAGAGGCAAGTCCTGACTTGACACGGTGGGTTGAAAGAAAATAGGGTTGTACTTACCAATAGCAGAGGAAAGGGAGTGAGAAGCACTTAACAAAACGGAAGATGGAGAGGTGGTCAAGTCAGGTAAAAGGTGGTCAAGAACAAGAGGTGCCCAGATTTAAGTGTTAAAATTTCAGAATTTCAAAATCGCATGGCCACTACTGCAGCCACACGACATCATACGTTATTCATAACCAGCAATAGAAAACAGATTGTCTACTGTTGCCTTTTCAGCAGATCTGAGTGTTGGGGTAAAATCTCAAATAATAATGGTGGGCCTGGTGTCAAAATATTGAATGTGATCAAAGTAAAGAGAGAGTAATGTGGAAATCATCTGCCCCACAGGTAGGGGGAGAGTGTGGGATGGGGGTATACTGGGGTTGTTGGGGGTGTAGAATGGGCACTGGTGAAAATACAGGTGTTTCATTGTATGACCGACACTTAGACCCGAAAGCTTTGTAACTGTTCTCACGGTGATTCAATAAATAAAATTATAAAAAATGAAAAAAAAGTAAGGTGGAGTTCATGCACAATTCAACCAGCTAATCAGTGGCTGAATAAATTCAGTACCCCTACATAAAAAAAAAACCAAGAGGTGGCCAATTCAGGTACCAAATGCCAGCTGGAGAGGCAGCACAGAGGTTTTGGCATTTGCCTTGCAGGTGACCTTCCCTTCTCAGCACATAGGGGAATAGCCCCAGAATACCACTGAGAGTGGCCCCCAAATAAAACACAAGGGCCAAAGAGATAGGACAGAGGGAAAGGTGTTTGCCTTGTATGCAGTTGATGTGGGTTCAGTCCCTAGCACTCCGTGTGGTCTCCTTACACTGCCAGGAGTGATCTTTAAGTGCAGAACTAAGAATAAGCCCTGAGCAGCATCGGGTATGGCCCTCCCCACAAAACTATTCAAAACAAAATAAAAGGGATCAAATATATGGCGCAGATGAAACTGGTAATGTGGTGGTGATCACAATGTACTATGTAAAATGTTGAATTCTAGTGCTGTATACTTGACATCGATAGAACGAGACACACCTGTTACTTCAATGAAAATTTTATCAATTAAAAATTCAATCATAAAAATAAAATACATTTTTTGGAAGGGGGTCCCCAGGCAGGGTTCAGAGGACTCAGAGACCACACAAAGATTCTTGGCCTGGCTAGATGGTCTGAACGGTTCGAGTTCGCCAGACGATGCAGTACAGCTCAGGCCCAGTAACACTGGGGACCTCCAAGACCACCTGGCAGCACTCAGGGGACCAGGTAGTGCCAGGGACCCAATCCAGGGCCTCCACAGGCCAGCCATGTGCTTCAACCTTCTGAACTCTCTCCTTTGTTCCTAGATACTTTTATTGAAGCCACCAATATTCTTGTTAAAACTGCATTTCACTTGCTGCTGAACTGATGAACTGGTTGAATTGATTAGGAACCATTTAGGATCTGCACACTGGGTCCTCTGTACTTGAACACATGCATTTAAGGAGGGAAGAATAGAGACGAAGCATTGAGAAGGGTTTTGTAAAGGTGGGGTTTTGATCTCTGGGAGGGGGTGGGGGCCCTGGCAGCCCAAGCCTGCCTGCAGTCTCAAGGGAACAGACCCCCTTGCCTTTCTTTGGGCTTCTTGATCTTCGCCTGAGCCAGAAACCCGGGACAGCAGCCACTAACCCTAATCTGTACAATTCCGTGCTCATTGACTCGTCGGAGGCGCAGACCATGATGGCCCAGCTGGCGTTCCTCCGGACCTCATCATTCTTGGAGTGCAGGAGCTCCACGAGGGGCTCCAGCCCCCCGGAGTTTTTCAGCTGGAATAGACAACCACATTTCATGCATTGAGGGTAGAGAATGGAAAACATTTATGCCTTTCGGGGAAAAAGAAAACCTCATTTTCTTTGCTAAAAGCATTATTTAAACAAGGTCAAGAAACATTAAGGGATGTGTCCAGGATAAGTTTTGTGAAATTCAGGGAGAAATAAATCAATGGCAAAACCTTACAGAAAGGATCACAGTTTTCTATTGGTTGCCAAGAAGGATCACAGTATAGTAATGAGGGAGGGTACCCCCGGAAGCGCGAGCTTGGCATGTGGATTAGTTGGTGATAAGGTCAAACGGGGTCAAATCAGCCCTGGAGAAACTTTTTCCACTGCCTTAACTAGAATAAAAATTTGAATGCATTGCCCAGATTTAGAGTGACCCCCAGAAACAACCTGTCTATTAGAGCTGCCTAAACAACAAACAACTTAGCTTTGTATATTTCTAAATGCTAAAGACACGAAGTTCTAAGTGTGTGAATGGGGAAAGGTGGTGCAGATGGGAGGTGCTGTCTGCAGCCCAAGTTCATTTTTGCTATTGTGCAATTCCATTTTAAGACTTGATCCCAATTTCTTCACCCCTTCTCTTAACTGGACAAATAGTGGTGTGTCTCCAGAGGTTTATGCTGTTGACATCGTTAATGTAGTACTGTAGACACAGGGGGGAAAAAAAAGACCCTGTCCCAAAACACCAAACAACAACAAAAAGTCACTTCCTGGAGTTTAGAGGCAAGAGGGCAAGAGATTAGAAGCAATTGGTGGCCTGTAGGGCATGCTTCCTTAGCTATATGAGGCTGACTTGTTTCCAGAAGCTGGAGCCAGCGTGAGCCGGAGGGAGGGGTCCTCTGAGCGCTTGATGCTCTTGCCTACTGACCAGGATAAACAGGGAGTATGAAAATGAGGGAAGCCAGCCGGAGGCTCTCACCTCCGTGCGGGCGTCGTGCTCGCAGGCCGTGGCGGCCACGGTGAGCGCCGCCTTGCTCTGCACCACGGTGTTGGCCGAGCGCAGCGGCTGCAGCAGGGCCAGCATGATGCCGCAGCTCTGGATGCTGGCGCGGAGCGGCTCCTGCATGGCCATGTTCGTGAGGACCGTGGCGGCGTTGGCGATGGCCCCGTCTCGTTTACTCCACAGGGTGTTTATCAGGGGATCGATGCCATCGGCTTCCGCGGCAGCACTGGGTATGTAAAGAAGAGATGAATGTCATGCGTCTTAATTCTAGGGATGAGCTGGGGAGCCAGTGAGGATCTAAAGATAATTTCAGAAATAATTTACAAGGCAATGAACTCCAAGTTAAGCCGCTAGGATTCAAATGGAATCTGGGAGGATGACTCATAGGAATACATTTTTAACATCCTTTCTGACATCCACAGCTTTGGTCAGTCTAAAGGTTTTTTATTTATTTATTATTTATTTATTTATTTATTTATTTTTTGCACCAAGTCCCCTGGTCACTTAATTTTTAGGGGGAGGGGGTGTTGACTACTTCTTAGAAACCCTTGTATAGATTTCCATTTTAAAAAATTGGGAGTATTTCTGAGACATGGGCATCTTACTCAACAAATTCTGCTAAGGGCTGGAACAATCATACAGAGGGTAGGACACCTGTCTTGCTCACCACTGACCCAGGTTCCATCCCTGGTAACCCATATGGTTCCTTGAGCACCACCAGGAGTAATTCTTGAGTGCAGATTCAGGAGTGAGCTCTCAGCATTGTCAGGTATGGCACAAAAACAAAAAAGCAAACAAGAAACTCTTAAAATATTCTTAACCAGTGGGAAAACAAAACTTTGAACAAGAATAAAAATTATGAACCCCTAATCACTGTCATTGTCACTGTGCTCCTGTTATTCATCGATTTGCTCAAGGGGCCTCACTAACATTGTGAGACTTGTTACTGTGTTTGGCATATTGAATACATCACAGGTAGCTTGCCAGGCTTTGCCGTGTGAGTGAGATACTGTCAGTAACTTGCCGGGTTCTCCAAGAGGGGTAGAGAAATCGAACTCAGGTCGGCCATGTCGACCACATGCAAGGCAAATGCCCTACTCCCTTTGCTAACGCTCCAGTCCAAATATAAGTTAACCCCTAATATAAGTTAAAAATAGTTAGCCCATCTTCCTCTTTTTTTCAAGTTAGATTGCTAACTGCAGGCAGACATGACCTGTTTGAAGTCAGTAAATTGTTCTGTCGGTGAATGTTGCTGACAAATTAAACATTAAGGACTAAAGCCATGGATATTGACATCGTAATGTAGTACTGTAGACATACTCAGTGTTAAATTTCTACTATCAATACTCCATTAGAGTATTAACATTTTTGCCTCTTAGAGTATCTAATCTTTTAAGAGTACCATGTGTCCTAAAACTCTTGCTTTGTAATCACTTAAAAAGGTAAAGCAGCAAAAACATTTTCAAAGCTCACTTTACCAAGTGCAGGATGATTTAATTATGCTCTGTAATGGAGCTGCCTTAGGAACTGCTTCAAGTAAGAGATGCCTCAAGCAATAAGATAAATAGAATATCCTGGTTTTAAAGGAAAACCGCAAATATAAATCCATTTACATCTATCATGGTAACCAAGGTAATGAGACAAAAAACAGAAACAAAAGAACCGCTACCCCAACAGTATCAATATTTCCACCTCTTTTTATTTAGGATCATATTAATAACCCAAAGTGAAAGCAGCCATCGGGCTATCTGATTTAGCTCATCTCTGTGGACTTTGGTGAATTAGATTGAACTGGGTACTGTCACTTCAATTTGCTGATTGTGCAGGAAAACTGACAATCTCAAGAACAGAAGTTATCACATTGACCCATCAGAGTATCAGAGCGTGGAGAGCAAACAAAACCTCCAGCAGGGGATTAGTAGTCCAGGAGAAAGGACACTGTGATGGTCTGAGGTACAGATCACAGGCCTGGGCAGGGAGCTCAGACTAGAGGGGCAGCTCTCAAGGAAGGGCTGGGATGCTGTTATCTTTGGCAGCACCTCCCAACACTGGCTTATGGAAATCTGTCCAAAATTCCCAGGGTACTGAACCAGGCAGAGTGGATGCCCAGTTCCACCTGGCCCATACTTCAGTCCCTGCTGCGCACTAGCTCTTCTTGTGGCTTCTTCCATTTGTAACTCTGGGAAAGTAACCCTTAAAACTAAAATTTGGGTTGATGCCAAATAAAATTTTATTCTTATTTGTACTGGAGAAGAAAAGCTTCAAAGGGTTCTCAACCAGGCACATCTGTGCTAGAGCCAGACCTGGAGGTTCTAGGGATGGAACTTGGGATCACCTGCATGCCAGACAGTGCTCCTGCTCTTTGAGCTTCCTCACTGGGCCCAGAAATTTCACTTTTAATTCTATTCTTCATTATAAATTGACATGGTGTCCATTTGATTTATGAATGTGGCAAAAATAAAATGCTCTAATATCAAAATCATCTCGCTTTTTTTACTTGAGTAGAAACATTGAATTTATGTAACCGCCAGCAAGAATTTGAAACCTCAAACCTTTTCCAAAGTCATTACCCCTCTTTGACTTATTAGAAACTTAATGGCACAGAGCCCTTAAACCAAATACTTTAGAGATTTTATAAACATTTTTATAAACATTGGTTAAAATGCTTGATTCTTTTGTCTCCTCGTGATTTTTCTTTGACTGCATTCTTTTTCGAATGACTTCCTCTTCATAGGGGTCGTATTCAGCAGTGTTCAGGCCTCCCTCTTGGCTCTATGCTCAGGGATCACTCCTGGACCATGTGGAGTGCTGGAGACAAAACCCAGGACAGCTGTGTGCTGGGCAAATACCCTGGCCATCATACTGTCTCTCTGGCCCTGCATGGTTAACTCCAGCACTGTCTTAGAGTGGAAAGAAACAGCAGCAACGGGGGATGTCAGAAGCCAGAGCACCTCAGGTAGCTGCAAACCTGCTGATTCTCAAAGCCTTGGTATTTCTGTGCACTAAGGGAGCTTGTTTTGTTTTGTTTTCAGAGGAAGATTTTTTTAATAAAAAGACTACAGAGCACCACTCCATCATTTTAGCTTCTCTTTACTGAAAACAAAAACAAAACACTGGCTCTAGGAGATGTCGGGGTTTCGCTGCATTTGCCTTTGTTCACAGCCTTTTTGCTGGGTTTTCCTTTTCCCTTCTTCACCACGGCGACCAGGGTCTGAGTTCACACATGTTTTTTTTTTTTTTTACTCTGCTCTTCTCTTTGCTCTTTTGTGGGGCGAATATGGAATACAGGAGAACCTAGCTCTTTAAAAAAATAATAATAATTCCAGACACACAGTGGGATGTAGTTTGCTTTCTTTGTTCTTGAGCCACGCCCAGTGGTGCTCAGGGCTCTATGCTTAGGGGTCACTCCCAGTAGGGCTCAGGGGACTATGTGTGGCACAACAAAATCTAGGTCAGCCATGTGCAAGGCCAGCACCTTACTCCTCTGTGCTACCCAGCCCTGGAAAATAGGTTTCCAGAAGCCAGCATGAGAGGACAAATCAGGCAGGCAAAGCCTAGATTGCACTGTAATTGCATCACAACATGTCTGCCCGCAGCTCTTCTGCACAGCTCTGTTTACATGTACAAAGCACAAGCAAGGTCGAATTATTATGGTGAAAAAAAATCTTTACTCTTACCTTAAAAACCTAATTTCAATTATAGAAGTAGAGTGTAGAATTTGTAGTTTTCCTTTAAGAATTAATTGCATTAATTTTATGTCTTTAAAACCCAACACATTCTGTTTTGGTTCCCCCCCCCCCCCCCGTCTTAGATATACACAAGCTGAAACCTGTCATATTTTTAAACACATCCACTCCCTAGATCGTATAGTATTATCCAAATGAATGGGACAGCAGTCAAACGGCTTTGTTACAAAATTCAGAATTAGAGGGCCATATGTCATCACAGTAATCTGAAAATATTTTCTGATATTTACTCTCATTAGCCTTCATCCAGTTGGAGTTAAATCAAGTAAGAGTTTAATATGTAAATTTCAAAGGCAACGAACTAAAACATCTGCTTATAGCGTTTGATATATGTAAATTGAAGTCAAGTTTGACATGTCATATGTGTCCAATTTATATTTTCCTCCTCCGTATTCCTCAGATCTCTCTTTTTTCTCCTTTTCTCCCATCAAAAGCCACCACAATATTGTCTCCCGAGGATTGATATGCTCTCCTAACAGGTCTCTCTTCTCCCCTTCCAAGTCTTTTCCCATCTGACAGATGAAAAAAACTTTAAAAATAAGTGGAATTGTATTGCTTCCCTGCTTTAAAACTCTTGCCATTTCTCATAGCTTGGAATGAAGTCCTAGGTTCCTCACCCCGTCTCCAGGCTCCTGTGAGAAGTGACTTTCCCTTCCCACTATGATCCCTATCAATCTCCTTCCTGCTTTTCTGGACTCCAGGCTTCTCTGCTGTTCAGCAATAAGGAAGATCAACTCCCCTCGGGTATCCTTGTCTCTGTTGCCCCCTTAAATTTTATTTAACTTTATCCTTGTTTCTGATGCCCCCTTCTCCTGGGAAAATCCCTATTACATCTTTCAAGCATGGACACAACTTTCTCCCCCTCAAGGAAGCTTAGCTCGATCCCAAACTAGGTCTCTTTTTCTCATGAGCTCAGAACATTTGTTTGCAAAATGTTTATGTTTCTTTTTGCTTAAAAAAGTATTGGTTTGGGGTCTAGAGAGATAGCACAGGGATGAAAGTGCCTATCATGCACTCAGATAACCCTGGTTGAATCCTTGGCTGCCCATATGGTCCACTTAGGCACTGCCATGAGTGACCCTTGAGCACCAGCCCAGGAGTAGGCCCTGAGCACTGACAGGTGTGACCCCCAAACCAAAACTACCACAACTATCAAGAGTGGGCTCAATTATTCACAAACAGGGATATAGTATTATTTTATAACACTTGTATGAAAAAATATTCAGCACAATATTTTTTATACACGTTTCCACATCCCACAATGAAGCAGCACTTAGACCATGAATGAGAAGAACATGAAGAAGAAACCCAGTCACACAATGTCTACTCACAGCTCACAGGAAATACTACACCCTTTTGTGACAGATGCTGCAGCATTCCTGTTTGATGCAAACAACCTTCCACCCACTCACCCTCACCCTCACCTCCGCTCTACCATTGCTTCCTCTCCTTGGTGATGATGGCCATCACTACCCTCTGC